GCTGTCCAGCGACCGCTCGTTCTGCAAAAGTCGGAGTTGGTTCCTCCGGTGTCAAGGTCAAATGTCCCAGCATAGCTACCAATTTGGAAGCATCGGTGCAGGACGACGTCACGACACGGATGACAGATAGAATCTTCTTCCGACTGAGGGCATCAGCTACCACGTTAGCCTTTCCCGGGTGATAAGTAATCTCCAAGTCATAGTCGGCAATGAGTTCCAACCATCGTCTTTGCCTTAGGTTTAAATCCTTTTGGGAGATTACGTATGTCAAACTCTTGTGGTCAGTATTAAGCTTAACATTTTCCCCGTATAGGTAGGACCTCCAGATTTTTAAAGCATGTACGACCGCTGCTAGCTCCATGTCGTGGGTCGGATAATTTTCCTCATGCTTTTTCAATTGTCTCGATGCATAGGCGATGACATGTCCCTCTTGCATCAATACACTTGGAGGCATCAGTGTAAACTTCGTATAGTATTCCCGGGCGCGGCAATGCCAAGATCGGTGATGAGGTAAGTCTACGTTTCAGTTCTTGGAAGCTTTCCTCGCACTCCGGGGTCCATTCGAACTTAACGTTCTTCCCGATGAGTTTTGTCATGGGTCGGGCTATCTTAGCGAAACCTTCCACAAATCTTCGGTAATAGCCAGTGAGACCTAGGAAGCTCCTAATTTCGGTTGCAGAGGTCGGGGCCTTCCAGTCTATGACTGCCTCAATCTTAGCCGGATCTACTTGGATTCCCTGAGCGGATACCACATGTCCTAGAAATCCAATCTCCTGCAACCAGAAGCTACACTTGCTAAACTTCGCATACAACTTGTTTTCCTTTAATCTCCACAGTGTTTTCCGCAAGTGATCCTCATGAGTCTGAGGGTCAGGCGAATAGATAAGAATGTCATCGATGAATATGATGACAAACTCATCTAAGTAATCCATGAAGATGCGATTCATCAGCTGCATAAATACTGCGGGAGCATTTGTGAGTCCAAATGGCATGACCACAAACTCAAAGTGCCCATATCGAGTTCGGAACGCCGTCTTCTGTATATCCTCGGCCTTAACCCGAATCTGGTGGTATCCCGATCACAGATCGATCTTTGAGAACCATTTAGCTCCCTGAAGTTGATCTAGCAACTCATCAATTCTCGGCAACGGGTACCGATTTTTGATAGTCACCTGGTTGAGTCCACGGTAGTCAATGCACAATCTCATGCTCCCATCTTTCTTCTTCACAAACAACACCGACGCTCCCCAGGGTGAGACGCTAGGGCGTATGAATCCCTTCTCCATCAATTCGTTCAACTGTTCCTTCAACTCTGCCATTTCTGTCGGTGCCATCCGGTACGGAACCTTGATGATTGGTTCAGTACCCGGTAATACATCAATGGTGAAATCCACCTCTCGGTTTGGCGGTAATCCCGGCAAGTCGTCGGGGAATACATCAGGAAACTCTCGAGCAATCGGAGTATCCTCTAATTTGTGTTCCAGTTCCTTGGTAGCGGTGATGACTACCAGAAATGCTTCATTCCCCTTTTTGATCATCTTTTCGGCCTTGAGTGCCGAAATGATGGGGTTTGTCGATGGTGCTCCTCTTCCCCGAAATTCGAACCCACCACTTGCATCCATAAATCATATGGTTCTCTTTTGACAATCAATCTGAGCTCGGTGCTTCGACAACCAATCCATGCCCAATATAATGCTATGACCGCCAATCGGTACCACTATGAGATCTGCGGCCAAGTTACGACCACAGATGTCCAGCGATACATCGCGTAAGGTCCCATGTACCGGGAGCGTCTCTCCTGATGGTGTGCGAACAGTAAAGTCGCTCTTCGTATCTAAGCTCAAGAAACTGTGAGTAGCCCCAGTGTCAAACAATGTATAGCACTCAACATCGCAAAGGTGAAGAGCTTCGTCTTCTCCGAGATTGGTCTCCTCCTCTTGTGCCTCCGCCTCAGCCTCAAGAGCATAAACTCTCGGGACTGCTCCAGCCCTAGGTGGTGGTCGTGGCTGTCTGGCCATAGGCAGTGTGTCTGTAGGTGCGGTGCAAGTGGCCGCACAGTGTCCCGGCTGTTGGCATCGGAAACAGGTCAGCGGTCCCCGATAAGGTGGTGGAGGCAGCGGTAGTACACCATCAGCAGGTGCTTTCCCCTTGCCCCGTGACTGGCTGCTCTGACCTGTCTGGCTGGTCTTTCCCGGAGGTTGGGCGTTGGAGAATCGCCTGATAGGGCTCCGATCTCGGATGCGCTCCTCCTTCTCTTCTTTTTCTCCTCGCTCTGCCTTCACCAGCTAGCTGATGTAGCGACTGAGCGTGGGGTACTCATGGAGTTCTATCTTCCTGCGAAGATAGGGTCGTAGTCCGGCAATGAACTTCTGGATCTTTTTGCCTTCCGTAGGTACTAGATGTCCTGCATAAGTCAGCAAACGGGTGAACTCTGCTTCTATTCACGAACCGTCATGTTCCCTTGCTGCAGCTGCAAGAATTCCGTAAAGCGGTGTTCTTGATCCTGGTGGTTGTAGTATTTGTGTTCGAATTCCCCCTTGAACTCCTCCCAGGTAAAGCGGTGTCCCTCGGGCATTTCCTGCACCACCTTCTTCCACCAGTGTCGAGCCTGCCCCGCCAGGTGATGGCTCGCTATCGTAGCTCGGTGGCGATGAGGGCATTGGACATATTCCAAGTCTCGAGTAATGGTAGTTAACCACTCTTCTGCAGTTTTCGGACTCAGTGAGCCTTCGAAACGCGGGGTATGCATGGCCCGCAATTCCCTGATGATAGGAAGATACTCTCCGGCCATTGGGTCCACAGGTGGCGGTGGAGGTAAGTCCTCCCCCCTTGGTTCTGGTCCCCCTGCCGGTGGTGGAGGCGGAATATGAGCCCGCAACGTTTGCATCATCGCCTCTTGGAATACACGCAGCTCGTTCCTCATCTCTTCTTGGAACTCCCTGAACCCATCAGTACGGGGTCATGGTTGGGTACGCTGTTGTCTCCCGTGATTGACCGAGTGCGTCGTGGTGCCATTTCAATGCATCACGTAGTTGTACTCAGCAAACGACGACGAGTAGAACGTCATTATGTACGGCATTTTGTAAAACACTTTTATTTTAAAATGACTATCGAAAAACATTTTTCAGTGTGAAAACCTTAAGAGTATGAGTCATTCTTTCCCGTGGATAGAATGTTGCTCTGATACCAAAAGTTGTGACACCCGAATCCCGCTTCCCGTGAACAGAATATGCCACATGGACGAAAACCAATAAACATAATAAAACCAAAAGTACGGGAATTTAAAAATCATTTTTAAACAAAAATACGCAGCGGAATAAATTCATCACACTTTTCTCGAAAACAACACTTGTCCAAACATACATTTAAACACAACCGATTCCACGCAAAACCTTGTTCCACAAACCAAAACGTACAAACAGGCTTATTTATCCGTACATAATGAAGTCTTCACAAGCCGTCGCCGTCCAAAGTGCGCTACTCGTGCTCCTCGGGATCTGAAAAATTCAACAACGGAGGGCTAAGCAAAATGCTTAGTGAGCAGTTCGGGTTGAGCCCGGAGAGCCCATTCTCATGGAGAACGGTGCCAACTGGTCTCTCGATACAAGAATTCATTTTCATCCATTTAACTCTTTATCATTTATCTTTCTAATACTTTACCATTATTTCACACATTTTTCGATACCTGATAGTACTGACTCAAGTCGTCCACCGGCACTATCAGGTACCGTTCCTTTCGGTATCATCTAGTACTGACTCAATTCGTCTACCGGTACTAGACTTTACCCTGCTTCCCTATAATAGTACTGACTCCACTTCGTCAACCGGTACTATTATAAAGACGACCACTCAGATCCACCAGTACTGACTCCACGCCGTCAACCGGTACTGGCTTCACTATACACTTCCTTAACGGTACTGACTCCAAGTTCGTCAACCGGTACGGTTACAGAAATGTCCACCCAACTATACCAGTACTGACTCCACATCGTCAACTGGTACTGGTATTCCATTTCGGTAATAGTACTGACTCCAAGTTCGTCAACCGGTACTATTACCGAAACCACACATCACCCAGTGCTGACTCCAAGTTCGTCAACCGGCACTGGTTCAATATC